AGTATGTTGGCTTACTCGTGCACATCATCTCTTTACACTTTGTGACTTTGTCAAAAGGAAACACAGTGGTGTGAAAAAATGCCCCCTTTATGATGTCCTTTTTTGTATGTTTGTCACACTTAAAAGTTTCAGATCAAACTACTTTAAATATTAGACAAAGATAACACAAGTAAACAAAAATGCAGTTTCTAAATGAAGGTGTTAATTATTAAGGGGAAAAACATCCAAACCTGCTGGTTGGGCCACCCATAGAAGCATTTTGGTCCCCTCATCTTTGTAGAATTGTTGTAATTCAGCCAAATTGGAGGGTTTTCGAGCTTGAACCATCTTTTTAAGGTCGCCACAGCATGTCAGTCGGATTCAGGTTAGGACTTTGACTAAGCCACTCCAAAGTCTTCATCATTCGGAGGTGGACTCGCTGGTGTGTTTTGGATCATTGTCCTGCTGCAGAACCCAAGTGTGCTTTAGCTTGAGGTCACGAACAGATGGCCGTACATTCTCCTTTAGGATGTTTTGGTAGACAGCAGATTTCATGCTTCCATTTACCACAGCCAGTCTTCCAGGTCCTGAGGCAGCAAACCAGCCCCAGACCATCACACTACCGCCACCATATTTGACTGTTGGTATGGTTTTCTGAAATGCTGTGTTACTTTTACTCCAGATGTAATTGGACATACACCTTCCAGAAAGTTCAACTTTTGCCTCGTCCGTCCACAGAGTATTTCCCCAAAAGTCTTGGGGATCATCATGATGTTTTCTGGCAAGACTGAGTGTTTATGTTCCTTCTGCTCAGCAGTGGTTTTTGACATGTCACCATTTTTGCCCCGCCTCTTTCTTATGGTGGAGTCATGAACACTGACCTTAACTGAGGCAAGTGAGGCCTGCAGTTCTTTGGATGTTGTTCTGGGGTCTTTTGTGACCTATTGGATAAGTCATCACTGCACTTTTGGGGGAATTTTGGTCAGCCAGCCACTCTTGATTCTCCGCTGTTCCATGTTTTTGCCATTTGTGAATAATGGCGCTCCCTGAGGTTTGCTGGAGTCTCACAGCTTTAGAAGTGACTTTATAACCTTTTCCGGACTGAGAGATCTCAATGACCTTGTTTCTCATTTGTTCCTGATTTTCCTTTGATCGCGGCATGATGTCTGGCTTTTGAGGATCTTTTGGTCTACTCCACTTTGTCAGGTAGGTTCTATTTAAGTGCTTTCTTGATTGAGAACAGGTGTGCAGTATTCATGCCTGGGTCTTGCTAGGAAATTGAACTCAGCTTTCCAAAAATGTGATACACCACAGTTAATTTATGTTATAACAGGGAAGGGCAGTCACTTTTTCACACAGGACCAAGTAAGTCTGCATTTTTTCCCTCTACCATTAACACCTTCATTTAGAAACTCCATTTTTTGTTTGCTTGTTTTATCTTTGTCTAATATTTAAAAAGTGTGACAAACATACAAAAAAATAGGAAATCAGGAAGGGGCAAACACTTTTCACACCACTGGATATTGATTCCCTCATTTGTGCACCCATCTCTCTATTCTTTAAGCCTTTTCTCTTTGTTCCTCATTTGTCTTGTTTCATATCCTTCAACCATCTGTTGTTGTTTTCTTTTTGGTATTCAATCATTTTTAAGACTTTTTTTTAAAATGATGAAGCTTAGAAATTCAACCAAACCAAATCAATTAAGCTGAGGCTGAGACTTTCCATATACAGTCATAGTAAAAAGAACAATTCTGTCAATTCTAAAGTTCTTAGCAGACCATAAAATCAAGTAAATGCAAACTCAGATGAACAACAAAACATGGCGTTTGACTCCTTGTCATTCAGCTGTGTGCTAGCACAACAGAGATGCTGCCCATCAGTGTGGGAAGGGTTATAAGGTTATTTCCATCTAATTCGAAGTCAATGACTCTACAGTGAGAAAAACATTCACAAGTGGAAAACATTCAGGAAGGTTCCCAGTCTTACTAGTGCATGTCCAACACATTCACCCTAAGGTCAGAGACACTGCAAGAACAGATCCATATTTCAGACTTACAGGCCTCAGAAGGTTCATCACAAGACCTCTGAAACATTGTCCTTTGGACAGGGGATACCAAATTGCAGATTTTTGGCAAAACTAGATACCTTACCTCCCATCAAAATAACTAGTGACTTTCTCATTGCCGCTGACTCTGACCACATCAGCATCCTCATCTTCCTGGACCTTTCTTCAGCCCTCGACACCATTTATCACACCATCCTTCTCTCACCTCTAACCAGATAGCTTCTCAAACTTGCCCTCACTGGTATTGTACTTTCCTGGTTTCAGTCCTACCTCTTCAACAAAACACAGTTTGTCACCAATGGAGGCTCCAGCTCCACCTCTGCTCCATTTAACCAAGGTGAGCCTCAAGGTACTGTGCTTGGACCCTTTCACTTCTTCATCTTAATGCCCCACTTGGCCAGATCATCCGCCACCATGGTTTCTGGTTCCATTCCTATGTTGATGACACACAACTTTATCTCAGTACCAAACCCTCCACCCAGCTCTACCCACAATCACTTGCCAGCTGTCTGCATGAAATAAAAACATGGATGTCATCTAACCAACTCAACTCAACAGTAATAAAACTGAATTCCTTGTTGTTGTCCCCAAAGCCCTACTCTGGGAGGTTGGCAATCTACATAGATGGTTGCTCATCTCACCATTCCCAGACATTTCTAATCTGGATATTGTTTTGTACTCCCACTTTAATTCCAGGCTCATATCAAGTCTGTAACCAAAGCAGGGCTTTTTTTTCACCTAATGAACCTAATGTCTCAGATTAGCCATTATTAGCTGACTCTGTAGCAGAGACTCTAGAACTCACCTGCCAGGCTTCCAAGAGAAGCTCTGGGAACACCCCCACCCTCATAAATCTCCACTGGCGTCCAGTAAAATCACACATTATTTACAAAATCCTTCTTCCTGCTTACAAATCCCTCGCTCTCCTGTCTGACCTGCTGCACCCATACATGCAGTCCTCTGTCATGGGACTGCTTTCTGTCCCTTGTACCAGTCTCCAAACCTTTGGGGACAGAACCTTCAGTGTGGCAGCCCCCCCACCCTCTGGAACTCTCTCCCATCTGAGCTTTGCAAGGCCCCGTAACTGGAGTCTCCTAAGAAACTTCTTAAACTCACCTCTTCAACAAAGCCTTTTACTTCTAGCTTGTTTGTGTATTTAGTCTTAAACGTCCTTAGGTTTCTTCAAATGCACAATACAAACAGGGGGGTCACCTGGTCATCTTGGAGTCATGGAATCGACCATGAACTCCTGTCTAACGGCTAGTCATGGCCAAAACAGAGTCACGCGTTAGGGTTGCTGTGCATAATTGTATGCAAATCTCAATGCACTGAAACAACGCTGCATAGAAGTGTGGGTCCAAATTTCTTCACAACAGTGTAAGAGACTGATAACTGTGTTTGGGTCCAAATGCTGCTAAATCATGATAAATCAAGTTTTTCAGAAACCTTTTGTCAAATAATTTGACACAGTGTAATGTGTTGTGCTGTTCATCTGAGCTTTCATTTCAACACCTGCTGATAGAACGTGTACTTTCTTTTTACCATGACAGTAACTGTGTCAGCCACAGTTTGTGCTGCCAGTTTTCGGTTTTCAGGTTTTGGGTTTATCATAAAAAGCGGATTTTAAACAACATAAGAGACGTATGATATCTAACATAACATGATTAAGTTGCCAACCAACTGGCATGTCAGCAAGTCTTCATTTTACTTACGAACCTATTTGTCGACTGATGTTCAGTAAGTTTCTCATACCAGACCACTCACAGTCTGTAACTTTCTCCTATTGGGCCGTTCTTTATTTCATCTTCAAGGCAAAACTGTTTGCATTAAAGAGGACACAACATTTGGCTGTTGTAGTGCAAGGCTCTCTTAGTTTTTCATTTTTAAACTACTCAACAAAAAACAATGGTGCACCTTGCTTTCTCTCTGCTTTCCTTTGCAGTAACTATTATTTCACTTCCTTCAGTCATACAGTTTTCAAAATCTTTTGGCTGTGTGAACTAGGCTTCTCTCTTGAACAGTTAAACTTCTTCCTCTCATAAAGAGAAATGAGAGCACGGTGATATGTTCCAAATAACAGCCAAAGCACCTATAAGTTTTAAATTTATCCATATTCTCTAACAAAGTGTGCAAGTGTTATGAATCCAGCCACATAAGGTAACAAAGTTTCCTTGATAAAGCCGCTAAGTGAGTCCTTATTGTTTCCTACATGTGTGACTAGTACTGACTACTTTAATTGAGCACCTCCCTTTTTTTAACCACATACAATGACCATATGCAAACTAAGTACTGTGGAAAATTTATTGTTGGATGATCAACACTTCACAATAAATGGTAAATGGTCTGTATTTGTATAGCGCCTTACTTGGTCCTAAGGACCCCAAAGCGCTTCACACTATACACAATCATCCACACATTCACACACTGGTGATGGCAGCTACATTGTAGCCACAGCCGCACTGACAGAGGCGAGGCTGCTGCAACACTGGCGCCACTGGGCCCTCTGACCACCACCAGTAGGCAACGGGTGAAGTGTCTTGCCCAAGGACACAACGACCGAGACTGTCCAAGCCGGGGCTCGAACCGGCAACCTTTCGATTACAAGACGAACGCCCAACTCTTGAGCCACAATCGCCACAATAAAAGTCTTTCTCAATGTGGAACCCTTTTGGAACATATCACTACGCCACCATTTCTCTTCATTTAAACCTCAAGCAGACAGTAAATAAGCTTGTTTCGTTACTTAACTTACTACAATACTGTATGCAATTTTTATTTCATGTTATGTTAAGGATTAGGGAGGTCTCACTACTACAGCCTCACTTTCTAAACGTATACTTTCCCTCATTCAGCACTTTTTTGTTGGATGTAGAATTAAAGACCGCACAGTTTTTATGTTAGCAGTGTGAAGCTTCATTTCTCTCAGCTTCTCTCTGTTTGTCTGTTTGTTCATCAGACGGCCCAGGAAGAGGTTCATTCTAAGGAGCAAAAGGTCAAACTCCTGACTGCCAGTGTGAATAGTTTCATTGCCAAAGCCCCGCCCACAGCCCATGATGCTTTGCACTCAGAGTTGGATGTACTGACAGCCAACTACCAGCGCCTGTGCAGCCGCCTTGATGGGAAATGTAAAACTCTAGAGGTACATTGCATTCTTTCTTTTCCTATTTGTTATCTCTGCAGTAATTTCAACCTTGGTGCGCACAGAAACCGTTTATGTAAATTTTATGTAATGTTATGCACTTTCATGTAAAATAGACTTACTAGGGGCTTCAAGGCTGATGCTTGCATACATCATGCACAGCTCTAAAGGGGTGGATATGATTTTAGAGAGTGTGTAATAGATATTATGGCTGAAATGAACCAAGTCAAGCCAATTTCAGACATTTTCTTTTCCTTTTTTTCTAAGCCTCGTTAAAAAGAAGTCTTATGTTCAGTTGTAGTCTACACGCACTCATCGTGGGAATGAATGTTATGGTAATTTGGGGGCTTTTAATTATTTATTTGAATTGTTCTTTTTCAAGGGTGGAATGATTGTACTGTACGCATCTTTAATTACTTAAAAAATTGGATGCACACGTTTGAATTTATGTTGCACACGGTCAAAATTGTAAAAACAGGCTCAAATATATACATGCAAGCAGTGCTAAAGCTTCTACAATGAAAAGGGCAGGCCTGTTAATTCCTTGTTAGTGATCGTGATTGAGTACAATCGGTAGTTGTTGTTTTAGAAAGCATTTTAGATACGCAGAACAATGAGAAAGTCCAAAGAAGTGTCTTTTATCGCTTTAATGTTCCATTGTTTCCTTTATTTAAGCTCAAATCAGTTCGATGTTTGAATGCACAGGAAGTTACAGAAACATGCAGATATTTGTGCAAAAAATGTAGCCAGTAACAGGAAGTTGACAGAAAAATAAAAAGTACAGATATGTGAAAATTCTACTTAAGTACAGTAACAAAGTATTTGTACTACGTGTCTGTGTTTATCAAAATGAGGTACATTGGGCTTATCTGTAGGTATTTAAACCTGTATAAATAATAATAATTACACTTATTTTTATTTCATCTAATTCCTTCAAAGTCTTTACTAAATATATTATGAATCTAGACATACTCATATATTATTTAAACTGCACTTTGACTGCTTGACTGGATTGCTACTTAATTCAAAGGTAAATTACAAACTAATCAATGCTTGATTTTGCTATGATGCTCCTGAGAAATAATTACATCTGTGTCTTGCAGTTTGCAATAATTCAGCTTTGACTGAAGCATTCTCTTGCTACCCTCTCTTTAACAATTGTATTGTGAGTTCAGAGCACATGTCTGTTTTGTGTTGCAGGAGGTGTGGGCGTGCTGGTGTGAATTGCTGTCCTACATCGAGCAGGAGAATGCCTTTCTGGACCAGTTGGAGGAGAAACTGGACAAGACAGAAAACTTGTCGGGAGGATCTGATGAGCTACAGAAAGTGTTGGATGTAAGTTCATGTGTAAAGCTGGTAAAACACCAGGAGTGGCTCTGCCACGTTACATCAATCATGCAGTTTTGCTCCATTCTCCACACATTTAATCCACACTTGAAGTCTTCACATGGTGACTGATATTGCTCGATGCTGTTCCTGTGTCTGACATCGTGCCCTCCTCACGTGTGCTGTGCAGCCTAACGTGGAAAACGGTGAATAAGTTGCTACTTGTGTTGTGGATTTCTGAAACTGACTCCAAGGGCTTTCACCCAATCACACACATTCCTACAGCACTGTTATCGATGCTTTCTCTAATCATTCCAGTGAACGCAGGCATCTCGGTGTTTACTGTCTCACCCAAGGATACTTCGATCTGCAGGAACTGGGGATCGATCAGCTGATCTTCTGACTGGTAGTTTCTCTTCTTTCTTTCTGTCTGTACATGCAGAGCATTGAGGTTCTTTTGCAGCACCCAGAAGACAACAGGAACCAGATCAGAGAACTCGCCCAGACTCTGATGGATGGAGGTGTTCTGGATGAGCTGATTCAGCAAAAGTTGGATGCTTTCAACACCCGATGGGATGAACTGATGGCGAGGGTAAGATATACAGCACGTGTTCTGAACTGTAATGTAAGCACACAGCAGAAAACCAACCCTGAAAGAACCGTTACTTTATTGTTTTAATAAGCAGTCTACTTTTTTCTTATTTGTTCATATGTTTTAGGCCAGAGAGCAGTTTGTGCTCATTTACCTGAGTGTGTGTCGTTTATTAGTTTGTCTGGAAGTATCAGTGGGAAACTCAAGTGAACTAGTCACTGAACTACTCAGCAGGAACTTTCTAGTCACTGTCAGAGCTGCAGCACAGCGAGCTTTTAGGACAACCTGATAATTCTTTGGTCTGGGAGACATGAAACGTGGGATACACAGGGATAACTTAACTCTCACTGCTGAAGGACTGATGACAGAATCAGTTTCATGGCCTGAGGCATGCTTTTGGGCCTGAGGGCAGTGCAGAAAGTCTTCAAGGCAACAGATGAATTGTGGACTTCTGTCAGATACCATTTCCACTGGAATACCATGAAATGAGTAGCTTAGCTTTCTCAGAGGCTGTGGACAGTTTATCTAAGGCTGACCTGGAGCAGATGGAAAGGATGCCTGTTGTATTTTTGGAGGTTGGTAGGCTGGTAACAAAATCGAGTGCTATATGAGTCCAGGGTCTGTAGTGTGTTGACGCGAGTTGTGACAGACCGGGAGGCCGCTGGGAGCTACTTTAGCTTCAGGTTCAGATCGGACATGCTGCCATGTGTCCTTTCACAACTCACCGGAAAAAGTTCAGGCAGAAGTGAAACAGCGTCTGCCTCACGCACAGTTATGGGGGTCTGAGCCATAAGCATGAGTGTCTGGGTGGGTCTTGTGGTGACGCTGGAGCGGATCTTCGGCACCGCCTGCTCTCAGCTGGTCTTAAAAGCCAATCCATTGATTCCTGCTCATGGCTCACAGGTGAGAGGAGACAAAAGTGGGACGCAGACTGTCCCATATTTATAAAACGTAAAGTTTTTGTTGAACTTTCTATATGAGACGGCGAACAAAAGGTACTTTTATGTAATTTAATTGTTGATCTACTACGTAACTAACAGTGGAGTTCTTTATCAGCAGTTAGATTTTGTAGCCACTGGTTGGATTTCTTGTTGTCACATCTTCTCTTTGAGCTTGATTAATGATTCTTCTCTTCATTGTAATTCTCCTGGAGACATCTTGTGTTTCTCTTCATTTTCACACATAAACTGGTTTTTTAATCATTGCTCCCCTTTTGTATCTTTATCTGACTAATTCTTGTCCTCCATTTGTCCCTTTGCCATCCTTCCAGTCATCACGATGGCATGATTGTATTCTCAGCCACTCGCTGTGATCCTCAGCGACAGATTAGACATAGTTGTGCGCCTCCCTTACAACAGAACCAGATTAATGTTCTCCTTGCTGCCTGATAAGCCTTCTTTTGTTTGTCTACCCTACATAGACTGCACGAGTGTGTGTGTGTGTGTTTTGTGTTTTTTATTTCAGACCTTTTGTGTTTTTGAGAGGAACAGAAGCTCCTACTCCTTGTTTTGGTATTTATAGCAGCATGTATGCATGTAGGGAGAGGCTGGGCAGCTCTGAGCCCTGTTTGTTTGTTATCTATCAAAAAGACGAGGAGCCGAAACACAGGAGCAGAGTTTTAGTGAGTATTTCTTGGAATGATGGATGAGAAGCAAATGTGCACCGCGAGCAAAATATTGCCTGAATGTTTTTGCTTTGTTGAGCTGAAAAGACGGCATTGAGGAAATCAATTTTTATTTCTTACATCTGGCAAAAATGTGATGTTTCATGAGCAACTCTGTCAGATAACTAGGGTTGTTTGTCAGTTTCACGGATTTCAGATGACCTTTGAAATCTTATTGTTTTAAACTTTGAACATAATGACATGTACTCAAAGTACCACATTAGTCTGAATATAGGCTGAGCCTGAATATACCATCCGTAGCTTTGTTTGAGCAAAAGTCTTGTTACAGAAAGGAAAGGAATTCACCTTTAAACTGACTAAAATTCAATTTTCTTATGCAAGTGAAATATGGTTTTATATAAGCTTAGAGGTTTAGTTTTCACTTATAATAAGTTAGCATTATTATTATATTAAGCAGGATGACAACATGTTCAAAATGCAAATCGAGTAAAATAAATAAATACATAAAATGTTATAAAAAAAATGCCCAAATTAAAATCTGATATTCTGTTTACTCTATCAAAAAGAAAAGGAACTCTTTTTTTTGTCATCATGTTTCAACTTTCTTTCCATGACGAGAGGTGCATGCTAAATATGCTAAATAAGCTAAATAGGCTAAATATGCTAAATATGCTAAATAGGCTAAATATGCTAAATATGCTAAATATGCTAAGTAGGCTAAATATGCTAAATAGGCTAAATATGCTAAATAGGCTAAATATGCTAAATATGCTAAATATGCTAAATAGGCTAAATATGCTAAATAGGCTAAATATGCTAAATAGGCTAAATATGCTAAATATGCTAAATAGGCTAAATAGAGACAAGCCATACTAACTGTTTAATCTTGATTTATTCTCATCTGATGATAAACGGTGACTTGCTATGAGTGGCCAAAGTACAGACGAAAGTATGACTTATCCTGTTATTGACACAGTAGCCGTCAGTAAACTGAAGGCCTGAGCTTACTACAGAAGTCGACTTTAAAGTGGTTTGGGAGAAAGTAACATTTTCAACAATGTTTGTTAGATTCAGACAATTCTTTGGTTTCATTCAGCAGAAACATGATCTACTTCACTTGTCACGTGCTGTTCTGCTATAACAGCTTATTCTGATTTAGAAAGTGATTCTGAGATTGTGGATCTGTTGTCATTGGTGATTACTCTTAAACCAGAGGCTTCAAAAAGCATTATTCTTCTTTTTCACCCTACTTAGCTGATGAAAAATAAGATAAGTGCAAGAGTCAGTCAGCTTCCTTTCACAAGCTCTAGTTAGCTGACAGAGCAGAATAATAATCTCATTATATTAATGTTCCACTTTAAAGTGATAAATCTGCCCCATGCATGCAAAAAACAATAATTAAATAATTCCACGTCTCCTTGTTCATTTCTTCAGATCACAGATGTATACTTGGAGATTTCATTTCATTGTTTGATAACAGATGAAAACCAGTTGGAAGGTGTTTTTGACATGAGGCAGTCAGTCATCATGTCAGTTTGCACGCGATGGTTCGGGATGGAGGAATAATGAATAAGAAGAAACGCCGTAGTGTGAGGGCCTCAGATGCATGCTCTGCTAACACAAGGCTTAGGCTGGCTCAGGACTATACTTGGAGCCATTATCCTTCTGTATGGGATTAGTATGTTCACTTGTAACTGCATACATTTAAGCCTCTCTCACACACTCAGTCACACAGGCTCTTATATGATGTAATAGGATTGTTTACTAGTTATTCCTGTCTGCAGTCAACGAGAGAGAGTGAAGATGGAAACACTGCAGTAGACACTGAGACACCTCACTGATAACACATTTCAGAAGAGCGTCGGTTATATAGTGACAACACCGAGAGGACATGCGAGAGACATCCCAGAATCCATCCTTCAAGAGGGTACACACAGGGGTGTGTCTTTGTGTAGATGTACTCGTGTATGTAGCAGTGTTTGTCTGTTTGTGTGCTAATAGTGAAGCCTCTATGATTCTCATGGCCTGTAAATAGCTAGAAAATAGTCTGTTTTCATATTTAAAGATGGGAGATACGCAAACTGGGAGCTGGTTCTACAGGAGAGGGGACGGACTTTTAGTTTATAACAGCTGGTTATTGTTCTTGTTCTAATTTACATGAGTTAGAATATGTCTTTTGACTTTCTTGTTTCCACAGGCAGCACTCAGGCAAAAAGAGCTGGAGCAGAACCTCCAGTGGGCTCGGGAGAATGACGAGACCCTGAAGCAGATCCAGGAGTCCTTAGCTAACACAGACCGCCACCTCACTGCATACCTGGCTGATCAAATCGACGCTCAGCAGATACCACAGGAAGCTCAGGTAGCCATAGCACAACGATCCTTCTATAACCTTTATAGTCACATGACAGGAACAAAGGCATTTGTTTCCCAACCAAGGAAGACAGAATTCCAGATGATATCCTGACTTTACAATTTTACAAACATTTGTAAAATAGTACAGCACCGTAGTGTGAGGTCTAATATCAGCCGGCCAAAATAAAAAGAACCAGTTCTGAAACCAGTTTGGGCGTCTTTAGCAGATTGAAAGTCAAATCCAGACCAGCGCTGACCA